TTCATTCATGTTCCCAAATCCATTGTGACAACAAAACATTCAACACGAACAAAATATTGACGTTGTTAACACCAATCTGGTTCCTCTTTTCACTGTTTTCTTTCCATAATGGCTTTCTCATTATTATTCAGCTTTTCTTCCCACCATGAAATAAGGATTGAAAAGATTCAACCACAATTTCCTTACGTCATCAGTTGACTTTCATTATTTTATCCTGATTGAAATTTTCATGGAATATTGCTCTTCACAGGATTTCATCTCTCGATTTTTTATCGTTTTTTTCATTCATAATAATCGTGGTTACATCATCAATGCCAAGTCTGAGTAGATTACAAATTTTGAGAGAAAATTCCTTTTATTATGTAAAAAAGTATTGATTTCAACTACAGGATTCAACTGTGAACATCTCCATTATTATTAGATCATGTACATGTAAGATTAATTTGCTAGAAGATGGAGTGGAAAAGATCAATGCTTGATTGTGAACTGAAATAATGGCCTAAACATTGATTTGGACGATTGTAATTACATTTTTCATCCAATTACTATTGATATCAATCACTATCACTATTGTCTAATATATATTGACATCTTAAGATGAGGAACTTATAAACATATTGTCAATACAAAGTGTAAACAAGTTAATATTTTCTGAATCAAATAAAACTAAGAAAATCAATAAGTTTGATTGAAATAATGATTAACTTTGGGCCAACCTTGACATAACAATTATCATTAAAGGTGAATTGTCTCAGCAAAATATCAAATTGTTTACATGAAATTTGAAATATGTTAAGCTAATGAAGATTTTGTTATAATCAATGGAAAAAAGATGAACATGTAAATTGAAAAATTAGTGTAAAGAGCAACATTTCATTCAGTTTTCATCATCTTCATCCATTTCTTGATCATGATCGTTGGAGATATTCATCAGAGGTAAACAACTTGAACAAAATTCTGAGCAGAATCATAAGCCAATCCTGACCTGGTTCCTGGTTGTCATCTTTACAAAACTAGTAACCTAAATAACAAGAGAAAATACAAAAACATAATTCAAGTTCATCTGCGATTTAACATTATTACTTACTTTATTTATTTATTTTGTTTGTAATTTGAATCACAATTTCCTTTCTTGCCTTACTTCTTTTTGATTTATATTTTTTTAACAAATTAACAGCCATATACTTACAATTGTTAGTCGATTGAAAGTTAATTGTAAATTAATAATTTTCATAAGACCTTTTTTGACAAATGCTCGATAATAATCAGCGAACCAAAGTGTATTTCATCCTTTGTATCAGTGTTTGGTGTAGATGGTATTTTTGTCGAGTTAATGTATTAAAGTCACAAATCGTTTTACCAACAGCCACAAATCTATAACAAGTGATGTTTCCAACGCAATTCATTTAACTCACAACCTTTTTCCTTTCGCCAAAATTTGTTTTCACCTAATCATCATTCAATGTAATCCAATTGGATTGTTCAACATTAAACTATTACGACAATCATCGAGAGTGTACAAGCCAACTAAACATCGTAAGTAAGTCTTGATTTCTTTGTTGTAAAAACCATGTTAAGTCCACGTAAAAAGCTGGAAATTTCAAGCTTTATCCCTGAATAACACTGTTATTGGAAACCATTTTAGCCAAAAATTATCTTCTTATCTCTTTAATCCATCTTGGGCCTAATAGATTGGTTCAACAGTCAATTGTGACTATCATCGGCCATGGAGAAATCATCTAACTTAATGTTGTCCCGACCCGAAGATCCTGAAGTTGCTTCCTTGGGCC